GCACACCAGCTCACCTACAACTCTACTCAAACACTGTAAAACTCCTCGACGCAACATAATTCCAAGTTGTAATATTGGAGTTGTTCAGCCATACATGCTTGACCCCGAAACTGATCCTGAAGAAGAAGAATGATGCAGAAAGCCTGCAAGCTGGCAGGATTGGCTCCTTGAATTTAAGCATAAAAGTCCATGTTTCTAAGATGGTAATCAGTACGCTCCAGCTTCAGGGGCTAAAGGCCACATCCGAGCTTTGGCCACATCCATGGTCCTGACTGCTTATTTTTCTCAAGAAGTTTCTTTCAGCCCATGAAAAACACCATAGGGACATGATGAGGGTTACGTTCTGTATTTTCTCTTTTGGATGGTTGCAGTATGAAGAAATCACCGGAGGCCCTGGGAGACGACAGTGTTTTTGCTAAACGATTTATTTAAGAAGTAATCATCTGATTAAACCGTGAAAACATTAATCATCGCTTGCAACCCTTAATAGGACTCAATGTCAAGCGAGGCAAGCTGACAAATTGAGAACAATAACACTAGAAGTAGATAACAACACACTGCACCATGAATCTGCATTCAAGCGTCATTAATCCCTGATTGTGTGGGAGCAGGCGGGGGCTGATGGCGTGGGAGTGCTCTGTTGTACATAGTCTTCTGTTGACATGCCTAATAGTGATGGATGCTTCACAGGCTCACAGTGTGCATGCTGATCAAAGGACGCACTTTATATCACGGAACAGCACTCACGGCCTCGGTTCATTAAGCGCAGATGCCTCAACATGTTGTCTAAAATTGCAGGCGATGTATTAGGGATAAGACACATATAGTCAGGCTCCTTGTTGATTGAAAGCAAAGCATCATAACCGCATTTTTTACAGGAAAGAAAAAGATAAAAGCACGCATTGACGGTTGTATTCGTGAAGGTGTGTTGCTTAGATCTCTCAGCCTCAGTGGTCCTCTGACTTTACCAATTGTCTGCCTAGAAGAGTGCTCTGTGTTTCACTCTTCTCAAATGTCCTTTCTATTTTTTTTCAGATTGTATACAGGGGAAATCCGTACGCAGACCACAACTCTACAGCCTATGCCATATATGAGAGAGGAGTAGAAGTCGGCTGCTGGGGGCTGTGCATTAACGCCGTGTCCTCCGCGCTCTACTCGTGTAAGTGCCATACGTCCGTCTGAGTGACAAATAGAGAGTCGGAGCTGGTGTTCGGTTCTATTTTCATCAGCATTCCCTGACATCGCCGTGTCCTGCAGTGTCATTATTAGCACCTCTGCGAGTGACAGCCTGATAAGGTTGTAGAGGGAAATGAATAACAGCGGGCAATTAACGCTTATTGTACTGGGGTTATAGGCTGCAGCTATTTCTTAGCAGGGTCTGAACCAATGACATGTCGAACTGTGTTATTATGTGTACGGTAAAAAAAAAAAAACTTGTACAAAATATCAATCATATTACAATCATAGGTTATTAATTTACATATATAATGAAAAGTAAAATAAAACCTGGAGCTGCAAACAACCTTTTCTTTTTACATAAATCAAATCTCGTAATTTCACTGAAATTAAAGGTTCATACTGTAAATATATGGATGTAATACATTTCTAAAATTAAATACAGTTAGTGACAATTGACAAAAAGTATTGGATCTGTAATTTTAGATAGATTTGTTTGGTAAGTAAGAAATATTTTTTATAATTACAGTGTATATCTTTAGGCATTGATAATCTTGCAGAATACAGTTTTTATCTACCTATTCATCCATCTATCAATCTATCTATCAATCCATCTATTAATCTATCTATCAATCCATCTATTAGGGCTTGAATTGTAATTATGGGAAATTACTGCATTTTTATGAGACGATTTTCTGTTTCTATTTTTCAGTATTTTTTGCAGCTCTGGCTGTTGAAAAATTGCTGTTTTTTTTACACTTGTTTTTCTTACAGTGTAGACTTCCGTTCAAATGTAGGCCATGGCAGTTTGCATGGAAAATAACATGGAAGACTAATGTGCTACATGCATCCTACAGCTCAACCAAATAACAAAGGCTGGCCATGGACTCAGTGTGAAATTGGTTCCATTTAGTTGGAAGCTGAGAAAAAAGTCCTTTTAGATGTTTTTCTTTTTTATATATATAATTCCGCTGATGCTCGGAAATAAGGGACATCCTGTTCAATTAAATGTCAGTCAGCTGTGGCAAATTTAATGCATACTGTGGACCATAAAAGCCAAAGTAGTTATTGCATAATCCACTATCTCCCCTGAATCAACACAACTCAGATGGGTTTGTTGATTCACAAGTAATTATAACTGTCCATGACGTATGTGTTTGTGTGTTTTCAGATGTGCAGCGCTTCCTCTTACCATACATCGGCCTGAAGGGATTATACTTTATGGGCTACTTTGTGTTTGGCATGGGCACCAGCCTGATCGGCCTCTTTCCCAACGTCATCGCCACCCTGATCCTCTGCAGCGTGTTCGGTGTCATGTCCAGCACGCTCTACACCATCCCGTTCAACCTGATAGCCGAGTATCAGCGTGAAGAAGAGGTAATGGACTGGCAGTAGAGGCGTTTTATGTGGATGAAAAGCTTAGAAGTGAAAGGAGAGAAGTAGGAATGTAGCTCAAGGAAAAACCAGCATAAAGGCTTTACCTTTTAACATGTCAGTTTCATTTATTAATAGTTGTACATGATTACAAATCTGTTCAGGTTTACTCATTATATAAAAGGCTATAAACATTTACATGGTCATTGAATGAACATTAAATACATAAACATTTATATATTGTACATGACAAATGATGCGTAGCCTTCTGAAGCTGTAGTAGTACACACTTGACGTAGATAAATGAAATGAGCAAACCAGCAGAAGCTGCAATAGAAAGCATGCCGTTAGCTCAGTCATTTGTATTTATTTACAACTATTAACAACAAAGAGTGGAGTCTACTGGAATTTCCATTCCATGACTTGATACGAGGTGTTTCAGAAAAGTTCCAGGACTGGTGTCACAAAAGATATACAGTCGTGACTTGATAATCTGACCCTTAACAATCTGAAAACCTTGCTATCCGAAAGGTTTTTAGGAAAAACAAACTGAACCCATTAAAAACAGCCTTAACATACCGACGGCCTTGGATTCTGACTCTGACATGACATTTTATGTGACAAATAAGGATAACGGTGTATTATCTGACTTAACAATCAGACAGATTGGCTACATTCAGACTGCAGGACTTAATGCTCAATTCGGGTTTTTTTGTGAAATCTGATTTTTTTTTTGTGAGTTTGTTCACATTTCCAATTCAGTGTGACTTGTATGTGATCTGCTGTCTCAACTTCATACGACCCAAAAGTGTCCCGCATGCGCAGAAGAGGACACGTTGACGTCACACACAGCAAAAGCTCAGTGTTAACAAAAGTAAACATGGATGGTAACGGTGGAGCGTATCTGCCACTCCCCCGCCACCGCCACTGATTGTGGAAACAGAACTGTGACCGCTAACTAAACTGGCATCAGCAGCCAAGTACTGCCATTGTGTTCCGACCACTTCCACCCTGTTGGAGCGCTCCCCAGGGTGGAAGTGCTCTGTTGTCACAGCCATCTTGATGTCGTCAAAGTCTTCAAAAAGGGTCCCCTTGATGACCCCCTTGAGCTTGGGGAAGAGGAAAAAATCCCACAGAGCCAGGTGGGGTGAGTAGGGAGGTTGCTCCAGCACAGCAATGTTCTTCTCAGCCAGGAACTGTTGGATGCTCAGGGCATTGTGAGCAGGCCTGTTGTCATGGTGAAGCAGCCACAACTCTCACCTCTTCTCGCGCACTGAACAAAGCAAACGCTGCAGGATCTCTTTGTAGATGTGCTGGTTTATCGTCTGACCCTGTGGCAAGAACTCACAGTGGACAATGCCCCTCGAAGAATGCTTGACTTTGGACTTCGACTGTCTTGCTTTCTTCGGCCTTGGGCGACGTCGGACTCTTCCACTAAAGGCTCTGGCATTTGGTCTCAGGTTGTACTTGAAGATCCCTGACTCATCACTGGTGAAGACTCTCCCTATCAAGTCTGGTTTGATTTCAAGACGCTCGAGGATGTCCTGACACACTTGCATGCGTCGATCCTTCTGGTCATCGTTCAGCAGTTTTGGCATCATCTTTGACTTTCCGCATGCCCAAATCTTCAGTGATAATCTTACAGACGTTGTCCAAGTTCATGCCCAGCTCATTAGCGATCAGTCGAACAGTCAACCAACAATCGCCACGCACCATCTGCCTGACCTAAAAAGCCTGCCTGAAAGTTCAGCAGTGGCCTTAGTCCTGCTCATTGAAGGCCCTTCCACATCCTTGCATCCCACTTTAAACCTCTTGCACCACTCAAAAACACGTGAGCATGACATAGTCTTATCTCCATACACTTGCTGCAGCATTCCCAGTGCTTCTGACAGAGTCTTCCCCAACCAGACCAGAAATGTCAGGTTTGTTCATTGCTCTGTGCTCATTGCTTGACGACTTGAAACAGAGGATATGTACATAAAAGCATGTGGAAACAAAGTTCAATGGCTGCAGAGAGCTGAGATCACAGTTATATATTCCAGGGCGATTACTTTGAAGGAGAAAAATCAGTTTGTAGTTTGGGTTTTGAAAGATATCTTTTGTGACACCAGTTCTGGAGCTTTTCTGACACACCTCGTATGCTTCACTCAAGATCATCATCTGTTGATTAGATCCCTATATCTAGTCTATCAAAGAAGAACATTGTAGCCATATGATAAATAACACAAGACAGTAGAGTTGTCATAATTAACTGATTAGTCAATTTACTAGAAAATCGGCCTCTGTAACTACAGAAGAATAATTTTTAAGCCTAAATGTCAAGTTTTGTTTACTTCCAACTTCCAAAGTTAGCAACTCCAGACAGACGGTCAAACTACACTTTTCTTGTTACAACTGCATAGTGTCCATCATGAGACCTGGGTAAACACAGGCTCGCTGTTACGCATTTACAGTCTGAAATCAAAGCTAAGTTATTCCTTGGAAAGTCCCTCCAGCATCATAAAACACATAATTCATTACTGGGCCTGACATGCTGAGTGCTACTCTTAGTGACGACTAAGCCGAGCGTCCTGTGTGTAAAATTGGTTGAATGTCCCTTCGCCTCAGTTTACTTTATCACAGCAGGATAACCCACTTAAGAGCAACACTGTTTCCAGGAAGTCCTGGGGACATTTATTAAAAAACAATCAATAAAGCAATTAAAATATGTCAAATATTGGTAATAGTCTGTCAGTCAAGTGCACAGGTATTTAGATTTTACGTTAAATTTTAAATTATGTGGATTTGTTTGTAATTTAGTCCAGTTATTGACACCAGGATACTGAAGGTTGCCTTTGAATGCAGCACTTTTTTCAGCATCCAACTTGTTCCGATTTTTTTATTTTTTATTTTGCATAGATTTAAAACTCACAGCTCACTAGCATTGTATTTCATTATTAGATAGATGAAAAGACCTGGAGTAGAAAATTCACTTTCAGTTCACGGTTTCTATATAAATTTTTCACCTTTGATGTTGAAGTGACCGCATAAACTTTGTTATAATATTGCTGTGACCTTCTCAAACAAGCTTTGACCCATCAATTAATCATATTCTTCAGTGTCATCCCTTAGGGGGTGGTTCAATAATCAGTGTTTTTAAAAAGAAAAAATGCACTTTTTCTGCCACTGTGAGTCAGTAACTCATTAAATGAGTGGGTGATGAAATCCAACACGAATCGGCTGCGGTGGAAAAAAAATGTATATAGTTTTATGAGAGGGTCTTGTAATATTTTCAGAGATGAGCCTGTTTACCCAACTGTTGATTGCTTTTTGCCACGGACATCTGGTGGTACTGAAACTGATATTGGTCTCATGTTTTCCCCTCCTCCTCCTCCTCCTCCTCCTCGTCCTCCTTCTCTGTAATTGCCAACACCACTGCCCGCTGTGCTTCCAGGAACAACTGAAGCTTCAAGGAAGCAATAAAAGTCCTCGTGGCACCGGGATGGACTGTGCTGCGCTCACCTGCATGGTCCAGCTGGCTCAGATCATCGTGGGCGCTGGGCTCGGAGCGCTGGTCAACGCAGCGGGGAGTGTAATCGTGGTGGTCCTCTCAGCCTCGACAATGTCCCTGTTTGGCTGCATCTTCATCGCCCTCTTCATCAGATACGTGGAATGAATTCTGCTTATATAAAATTATTTTAATGATATTGTTTTAATAAATAAAGATTGTCTAAAATCTCTTTGATTTTCCTTTTATTTCACCTAAATGACCATTTGACTGACATTTATAAACATTTATGGGATTTCTTCATGGTGACACTGCTGTGGTGTTTCGGGCCGTACACTTAATTAGCCATTAGCTATGTATAGCTGTTTCACCCATTACCTCAGAGAATTCACCCACTAATACCTCTAAAGCTCACTAATTAACTTTAGTGAGATACACTTGATTAATTAGTGAGTTTAAGAGCTGCCTTTAAGTGTTTTTTTTCTAACCTTCCTACAGAGCCAGGCCCAGCTGTTACCTCCGTTAGTTCGAGGGAACAACCACATAAAATAAAAATCCACCGACTCATCCCTCTAAAGCATATTATTTAACGTCAGTGAAATGTACTTTGTGAGCTTTAGAGTTGCCGTTGAGTGTTTTTTTTTTGGTGTTGTTTTTATTTTTTATTTTTTTGCACAGAGCCAGGCCTGCTGTTTCATTTATTAGCAAAGGGGACCAGCTCACAGCTCACCTCCTGGCTAATGTCTGGCTGATTTAAATTTAATTTGTGTGTGTGTGTAAGAGAAACTAACAATCATGGTTTTGTGCAATATGGGATGAACTTCTTCAGGGAAAAACAGTAGTATAACGAAGTCTATATCTCCACAGAGTTAGTGTGAGAGTGTTTGGTTTAAAACCCACTCAGGCAGCCAGAGATGACGCTGTTGAACATTGAGGACATTATTGAACTACCAGAATGTGTAGATATTTACTCCTCAACAATGCAGTTGCTACCATTTGCCATGGTGACGGCGGCGCACATAGACACAGCGGCTACTTCAGGAGACACCGAAAGTGAATGTTTTGAGTGTCTTATTTATTCCAGACGTTCATTCTGCAAAACTTGCAGCTGGGAGACTTTGCTGGGCGTCAGGACAGTGAACGGTGCTGGAATTGCGGCAATCGGTTGTGATTTGGACAACACGGAGTCCGATCGGAGACGATGCCGGCAGTTACCCGAGAGAGAAGGAAACACAAAAGGTACGAACGTAACAAAAGAGGAGGAAGAGAGCCGGGATCCATGCTAGGCCAGCTGCGACTTCCTGGGCTTGGTTCCTGTTAATACCAACAAAGACGGGCCATGAATCCTGGCCTTGGTGGCCACAGGAACCAAGCCCAGGAAGTCGCCGAGCTGCGACAAGCTTTGGAGGCATACAAGGCTGAAAACTAGAGACTGATTGAGGACAATCAGCATGTGGAAGTGGCCATCAAGCAGCTTGAGGATGAAAAACAAAAGGTCAGTGAGAAGCTGAAATTAAGCAACACACTGATCCACAACAAGGACAATTATGTGGTGAGCAGAGAGCTTCTTATAAAATTCATCAAAGAGCAGATGAAGCGAGAAAGGCAGAGATTCACTGAGTTGAGTGAGGTGAAAGACCAAGAGCTGCATCAGCTTAAAGAGCAGCTCAGAGAGGAAGAGCTGGAGATCGTCAGACTGCAGAACTTACAGGAAGAGAAGGAGGCTCTGCAGCAGGACAGTAATGAGCTGCAGAAGGAGGCAGTCATGGAAATGCAAGAAGAAACAAACCTGTAGGAGGAAAAAAAAGACTTGGAGGACGAGATTCAAACCGTGGAGGTCACGACCAAAAAAGGCATGGGAGGCTTCAGTTTCTTTAGAAGACTGATGATGAGAAAGACAGAGGAGGAGGAAAGACTTAAAAAAGGAAACAAAGAGAAAGAAAAGGCAGAGAAGAAGCAACAGAAACATGCCAAAGACAAAGAAAAAGGCCTGTTTGCACTGAAGGAGTGTGGCGGCGACCAGAAGGCCGACTAAGCTGCTGCTTGTTCAGGCCGGACAGCAGCAGCTCCCTCTGCCTCCCCCGTCCCCACCTCCCCTTCATCCTCCCCTTCTCCTCACCCATCCTCCATCCTCCACTCCTCCTCCATGACTGTCCCCCACCATCTCCTCCACCCTCATCCCTCCTTTTCAGCCTCTGTCCATCACCCCTCTCTCACCCCTCTCCCTCTCCCCTCTCTCTCATGGTGAGTAAACAGAACTAAATTACTTAAATATGTCAATACTGGTCTTCAAGCCAGAGGGATAGTTGAGTTTTCACGTAAATCAAAGATGTGTTGAGAGGTGAGATTAGAAGTTCTGTTGTAGTTACTCTTTGCTTTTTCTTGGTAAAAATAAGATTAAATGGTAAAAAAAAAAAAGTTTTTTTCACGTATATACATCAATTTCATTTGTAAATTCAGTCCAAATAAACATGTTCCTCATCAACTTAAACTCCTTAAAGTTTTATATTTCACCCTCCATTTAGGAGAAAGGGCTATTTTGAAGAAAGAACTACAACTTCCAGTAGCGTTACAACACAACGTGATTGGACACGCCATGAAATATATAGTTCTTCTTGGGGTTTACAGCTAGGGTTTTGTTTTTGTATTAATAAACTAAAACAAACAGATTGACACACTGACAAATGTGCTACTGTTGAAGTACAATACGTGTAGCATGAAAGAAGTGTAAAAGAGTACATCGTATTGTGGTGATGTTTGTGTTTTGCAGTGTTTGGGGGAAATTCGTTGCTAAGGCAACCCTGTTAGCGTTTGAGGACGACTGTACGTGGTTTTCTTACTTTAAGTTGACTGGATATTGCTAAAATCTCCCTTTTTCTTTGGCAGCTTGTGCCACCATTCAGCTCACCTCAAACTGCACACTGAAGAACTTTTCTGCCACAGAATATGACAGTTTAATGAAGTGATTGTTTTGTGTCATTTAGACAAAGTTAAATGTTTCATACAGCTCTAGTCAGACACATTTTCAGGAAGTTCTGTGTGCTGCAGGCATAAAAAGTTGCATCACATATTAATTTCATATTTTCATCAATGTGACTCATAAAAGATAAAACTGTTATTTTTATTGATTCTCTAGATACAGTATCTAAGTATTTTCAGAGCTTTGTAGTTTAAAATTCTCCCACAATAAATGTTAATGCCCCTCATGCTAACATTAGTTATGTAACACAGCAAAATGGCATTTAAGCAGTTGCATTGCAAAATGTTTCAACAGTTTTTTTTTGTTGTTATTGAGTTTTTTGGGGTTTTTTTTTAACATAACCAGCTGGTAAAAATGTGAAAAAGAAGTCATGAGCTGGCAATCAAGAGATTGCATCAGTGTGAATGCAAAGAACTGCTCTGAAAAACTGCTCGACGCTCATGTATTAAACTCGGAGACGACAGCATGCACCGTTTTTCTGTCGTCCTCGCGGAGCAGCAGTCTTCTTCTCTCAAACAGCACCATCAACAATGTAAAATTCTCCATATAGGCAAACATAACAAACCGTCCATTGTTTCATTTCCTCCGTGCTCCTACAACTTGATTAACGTTCAGTAACTAATATTTGTTGTTGATTTGACTCATTTGGGGCTGACCTCGTGGTCACAGCTGTGGGATCCCGCACTGCGCTGGAAACAAAACAGCTGAAACCGCCAATTAAAGAGCTGTCACTGTAAACGCTCACACCAGGTCACCAAGTTCCTGCAGTGGAAAGAGGCCTATGAATCAAATCAAAATCAAGTCAAATCAAGTTATTGTCATTTTGCTGTACAAACGCATTCGTACAGGCAAGATGACAGAGCGTTTCTTTAGGATTATACAACCAGCAAGTATATTTTGAGATATAGAAATTCAAATGTCCTTCACATCACAAATTTCACCCTACTGTCTCTCCCTACAGACACACACCTTTGCACACTCATCCACTCACACATACTTGCATGAACATGCACAAGCAGGCCTACACACTCAAGACAATGTAATGTATGGCATCTTAAATGTGTTTTACATTTCTGTATATGAGCTACAGTAGGCTTTTTAGCTTGGAAAATGTCTGTGTGTGTGTGAGTGTGTGTGTGGCAGGGTTGTATTAGTCTTTAGCTGTGAAGATGCGTGTGTGTGATCAAGTGTAATGGGGGTGTGTACATCTTTGTAAGGGGCTACAAGCAGGTGTTTGCAGCCACTTGTTCATATGTGCTGAGAGCTAGTGATTGTCAATGCATTGTTTTTTTTTTCTTCACTCGCCTTTGTACAGATATAAAATGTGACCTTGGCTTTTACAAAGACATTCAAAGGGCTCTTAACAGTTTCTCCTTAACATATGCACACACAAACACACACACACATATATACCAAGGTCCATACACACCCACACATGCACTCATTCAAGTAATAAAGACCCTGGGTGATCTTGCAGTGCCTCAGAGATTCCACTATGGTGAAAACCAAGATCAAGAGAAAGTTCACAATGCAAAGAGCTCTGGAGGTAATCATGCAACCTGCTGACAACAAGCAGGACTCAAAAGACTCTGAAACTGAGGATGAATGTTCTTCAGTTATGATATATTTTGATATATAACATATTTATGGCAGATGTCTTTTCTCGGACATTTTTGTTTTGAAGATCTCAAGTTGAAGCTTTTGTGTTTATATCTGATGTTGCACAAAAAAATAACACACCAGACTTAATGCTGTTAATGTTGTTGTTGCTAATCACTGACACATCCCAGACTGTGTTAATTAAAAAAATAAATAAATAAAAAATCCACTTAACAGTTATTATGTGAAAAAGCGTAGAGGGGACAGATGGGTCAACGAAAAGAAAAGAAAAACAGGGAAAAAAATCCACCCACAGATACCTTTAAAGCTCATCAATTAACGCCATAGAGATTTACTGTGCTAATTAGGTAACTTAAGTGTTTTTTCACCAAGAATCAAGACAGCTGCTTTTCCTGTTAGCTAAGAGGAGCAGCTCCTAGCTAACCTCTTAGCTAACTTTTGGCAGAACCAAACTTAAAAAACACAAACATAAACCACCAAATACACCAAATAAAAACCACCTACAAACATCTCCAATGCTCACCAATTAACTTCAGTGAGACATACTGCATTAATTAGTTGTTTTTTTTACAGTTTAAGTGGCAGTAAACTAGAGAGAGCAACTCCTATCTGTTTGGTCAACCAAATTCAATTTAAAAATCCACTTACTCGACTCCACTTAGAGTTTGATTTCGAAAGGCCTGTTTTCAAATTCCACTGCTAAAAGTAGAGAAGACATTTTCTGTTTAGTGAGACTTTCTTTACATTGAAAAAACCACTTTACAGGAGCCCATAATGCATTACTGGTTACATCACTACTAGTAGTAGCTTAACATTACTAGTGGCTGTAGTCTTTATTATGGGAGCAAACAAGAAGTTGAGGTCATGTAGCTGTAGAGCCACAAAGTCCACTTAGGGAGGAGGTCAGGGTTGATAGATGGGTTGGCAACCACCGCACCTCAACAAACTGCTGTTCATTATTTGTCTTAAACCGAAATGTCATCACAGCCTTTCCATTTTCTTAACTGCAGGCTAATTATTGTAACCCAGTTGTATCCTCTTTAAACCCAAACCCTGATCTCTCCCTAAACCAAGTTGTTTTTCTGTCTGCACTTAACTAAACAGATGATATGGGGTCAGATTCAGAGCATCAGGACAAACAATCTCTATGGTTATTCAGGACTTGTTGGTCCAGCAATTAAGCATCCATCCATCCATTATCTATACACCACTTAATCCTCATGAGGGTCGCGGGGGGGCTGGAGTCTATCCCAGCTGACTCAGGGCGAAGGCAGGAGACACCCTGGACAGGTCACCAGTCTATCACAGGGCTGCACTTAGAGACAGACAACCAAGCACACTCACATTCACACCTATGGACAATTTAGTTTAGCTGCAGTTTTTGGACTGTGTGGGAGGAAGCCGGAGAACCCGGAGAGAACCCACACTGCACGAGGACAACATGCAAACTCCACGCAGAAAGATTCCTGTGCCCCCACCGGGACGCGAACCGGCGACCTTCTTGCTGCGAGCAATTAAACATTTCAAATGAAAAATAATTGTAGAAATTTAGATTTTTTCAATATGATGGACAAAGTCAGTGTCACTTTAAACATTTTAGCTAAATGTAAGGGTACAGCATTTGTCTTAAAATATATCTGATATATATATTTGATAATTAATCAAAAGGACTGTCAAAGTAACTTCTACACTTTCGAACACAGGCTTATTTGGTTACAAGACAGAAAAACAAGAGTGACCACTGTGTGTGTTGGGCCACAATTCTGTTTCAGTCTTTGAGGGGATTTTTTTTTCCCACTGAACCACAGCACGAAACACAAATTATCCTTCTGTGCTCCTCATTATGTTTGTGTTTCTGCCTCCAGGCCCTGTAAGGTGACAGATCAGTGACTTGGACACTTGTCAAAGCTTGTTTTCACCCTTGTCTGCTATGAACCTTTAATACTGAGGCAGCCACAGAGGAGAGTTGCTGTGTCTGAAACCACTCTGAATATTTCTGCCAGCACACCACAGAAATAAGGTGCTTATCTTCATGAACTTCTGATATGATTTAAGATGTAAATTGAATGAGAGAAGGAACCGAGGTACACAACAAAAAGCATCCACAAATCAATCAAAGCATCTTTGACATTTTGTTTTGTAGATATCAAAGGTTCTTCTGCTGCTCCTCGGGAGGTAAATGCTGAGCCCATCTCTCGCTGAACGCACGCTGTTAGTTTTGAATTCATCATCAATTCGCTTCAAGTCATTCCTCCTCTTTCAGCTGAACTTTACCACCAGATGAAAAGCTCTGTGTGTGTGTGTGTGTGTGTGCTGATCCGTGTGTGCACCGGATTCAACACCCACATGATAGACCACTCTGGGATACTAATTTAATACTGAGGTCTCACAACCATTAGCCATTTATTTCTAATTAGATTAGCCTGTTGCCATGTGCCAAAAATAGCCCTTTTGCTTTTTAGCTGCCTAATTAATTCCTCTATATGTTGCTAGCTCTGGATGCTGATTGTATCGGTGGGTTTGCCAGACTCCTGTTAGTTGTATCTCTGTTGCATATTTATTTGGCTCAGTTGCTGTTTTGTCTCACCAGGCGTTCACAGCTTGTGGGCAGTAAGAGGATAAAGGACAGAACAAATTCAGTGGGTTAGACAGCATGGAGTCCACTGCTTAATTGAATCTGGAACTTTTTTTTGTTAAATCTAGACAGTTAAATTGGTTGTTAGTGCAGAGTTTAGCCTAAAAAGACACCCCTGCTCATACTGTTGTGACAGTTGGAGGTGTGAGTCTGCCAATTACCAGCAGCTAAATGTCATTTCTGATTATTACCTGCCTTTAATATGTATGTACATTTAAGTTGTAACAGTCCTGGATGCCTTTTTGGCAAGTGGATGTGAATAAATTAAACATAAGTGACAGATATTCCCTCCGGCCCCACGTGGCAGCGTAGGTGCTGCGATCTGCAACAGTCAAAACATCTGATTGTTTTAAAATGCTGTTTTTTTTCCACCCCCCTCAGATGCTGGTAATTGTACCATTAATGAGAGCTAAATTTAAAATTGTGCTTTTTAAAGTTCAAGCAGGCCCTTTTAAAAAAAAAACATTGTGTGCCTGGTTATGACTGAACCCATGTGATGGATTGCTTTAGGTTTTTTAATAGCAAGTTGTTTTGTTTTTGGTCCTGAAGTCATCATTTTACAAAATCCAGCAAATTAAAAATGAGTGGTTTAGGTCTTTTTTTTAATCACTTCAAAATCACACCAATAGATTTGAGAATTGATTTTAAAGAAAATGATATATGAGGCCTTCTCCATACACAACAACCCAACTTTCCCTCTCATAATACCTCAATTTAGGTTACCAGCCAATGCAGATCTGCTATTAGTGCTCTCCTTTGAAGAAATGTTTTGAAACCATCACCTCTGTGAAACCCATTTTACTCTTTTTTATTCAGTTTGAGGCCTGAGACAGTTTAAGACTCACTGAACAAACAGAAGGAGCAGCAAATGCCTCACATTTTTACATCTGGCTTGCACATGATAATATCTTCTTTCCTATACACAAGTGTCTCTTTTAGTGAGACCAGTGGGTATAAAAAAAAAGTAACATTTCTGTGAAAAAGCATCACTGACAGCTGCTTGAGTTTTTTCTCACCTTTGCGAAAATCCAACTTTCTTGCAAACGTCAGACATGAACTGCAGGGATTCACTTAAAATGCATGTAAATACAGAGATCACAGAGGATTAGAAAAACGGTCCGTGGCACCTCAGACTAAGTGCTGTTCAGCGGCAGGTCTCGCCTGTCGTTGTAAATCACAGCTCCAGGAGGATAAAACGCCACCGCGGGCTCCTCCGGTGCGCTGACGGGCAGCGCGACGTGGCCCTGCTCGTACATCTCCGGCTTTGTGGTGGCTGTGATCGGCCTGATCGTGGTCAGAGTCGGCGAAGTCATCCGCCAGAAAAGTTTTTTCAGCGCCTTTCTAAACTCCCGCCTCATCAGACAGTACAGGATGGGGTTGAGGCAGCTGTTGGAGTGCGCCAGGCACACGGACACCGGGAACACGTACTCCTGCATGGTGTAGTACTCGTAGCTGAAGGGAACCACGTTGAGCTTGACGAGGATGCCCCAGGCTGTGAGCGCCTGGTTGGGCAGCCAGCAGAGGAAAAAGGACAAGACCACGATGGTGACGGACTTGGTGACCTTTGCGCGTCGTTTGGCGCTGGAGGTGTTGATGTTTTTGGTGCTGATGAAGCGCAAAAGCAGCAGGTAGCAGGCGGAGATGATGCCGAGAGGAACGAAGAAACCCAGCAGCACTTTCTGGGACTGGTAGAGCCCCAGCCAAAACTGCACCGTCCCGTTGCTGTCGGGGAATTTAACGAGGCACAGTTCCTCGTTGGAAACCACCACGGTGGTGGAGAAAACTGCGGGCGGCAGAGCGGCGGAGACGGCGGCCACCCAGATGAACACCGTGACGCAGCGCGCCGAGCAGCAGTGCGTCCGCCGCCGCCTGCCTTTGAGCGCAGAGGCGAGCGACCAGTACCTGACCACGCTCATAGCCGTGAGGAAAAACACGCTGGCGTACATGTTCATGGCAGTCACGTAGGAAACTATCTTGCACATGGCTTTACCGAAAACCCAGTTGAAGTCCAGCGCGTTCTCCACCGCCCAGAACGGCAGAGTCAGCACGAACTGGAAGTCAGTCACCGCCAAACTAGTCACAAACAGGTTGATGGAGGATTTTTTCCACACTTGCTTAGACTTCATTAGATACAAAACTAGTAAGTTCCCAACCAGACCCAGCGCACAAACCACTGAGTAGATGACAGAGATGATAATCCTCACGACAGCGGCGCCATCTCCTCCAAAATCAGTTTTGCCAAAGTCCGGCAGGTGGATGCCACCGGACGAGCGGTTGGTGGTGTTGAAAATGCAGCTGAAGTTGAAGGACGAAGCATTTACAAACCCTGCTGAGCCTTCGTAGTTAGAGTCGGTGAATTCTCCAGACATTTTAACTTTTATCCTCGATGATGTTTACCAAAGTCATTCCCGGATCCAAATGCTGCAAGAAAATCCCTGGATTTAGGTTCATGCGTCAGCCTCCATGGTCCTTAAATAATATCCACAGGTATAAATAACCGACACAGTGCAGGTTTAGTGTGAATCAAAACAAACATAGCAGCAAAAACGTGTGTCGGTGACAGAGCTGCGCACCAGGTTGGTCCTGCTGCTCTGAGGTTTTAGTGCGTCTTTGCTCTCCAACCGTGAAAAAGGCGTCTTGACGCAGCGCTCGGGCGCAATCTGGCGCTGTCCTTGGTTCTGATGAGATGCCACGAAAGGGGGGAAATATCCATCTTACTATTCATTTCACTGTTTTTTTCGCTCTGTTGCAGGGACACACATGCATAGGTTGTAAGTGGAGGGTGACTGTGTTATCAACCGCTAAAAGCTTTCATGGGATGACTTATGATCTCTCCATTGTGGATTCAGTCCTTCTAATGTTTCCTGATTCCACTTTAAACTGGCTGATGGTCAGTAGCCTGCTGGTTCATCAGTGTTTCCAGGGTTCACCCACCTTAATGGCACAGATGGAAATTACCACTTTAAGAGGTGTTTTGATTCTATGAATAAAATCCTGACTGATGGCTCCTGTAAATCCTGAGCTGTAAAGAAATAACTGAAAAGGTGAATGAGAGGTCAGCTGAAGAGGAGGAGACTCGAGAGTATAAAAAATTGGAGAAGGGAATGGAATTGAATGATTAGACAGGGATTCATCAGAGTCTTTAAAGTTTATTGGAATTCTGGTATTTTTATGCACCAATATGTTCCTTTTGTGCATCAATTTAAAGGAAAACACAACATCCAGGCACTAAGTGACACTTCAAAATATAATGTAACATAATGCAGGAAGGCTCTCAGGCATTGTCTTTTAAACATTTATTCTCCTGTAGATCCATTTTTCTCATTTCATATCGTTCCGTCTCAGTCAACACAAACATTGGAATGATGCCTTTTCACTTAGAGAACAGAAGCACACATCTTTTTTTTTTTATAATAAGGGTTTCAAATTGTTTCCATTTCCTTCTGTCAAGTGAATAAATCTGGGTTAATGTAGCAGCAGGCCTGTTATTGCAGGCACTTACCTGGCGAGCTAAGGTGCCTTTTGTGCCAGTACAACAGAGAAAATATTTAGGACACACAAAAAAAAAAACAGTCTGTATTTAGAGTCTTTATTTTATGATGATGTAAACAGATTTACTGTGCCACCATATGACCACTAGTTGGCCATCTAGTGGTCACACTGTGGACTTTACTCACCACCTGTGAGTTTGTTGGCCTCCTGCTCGGCTGTTTGCCTTCATCTTGCCTCCACTGAAGGTAAAAGTTGTGTAGCTGCTGTGGATTGCAACCTGAAGCAGATGTAAGTTTCACAGCCTCATTCTAACACGTACAAGCAACCTCAAGCACTGTCAGTCATGACGCTATTTTGGCAAGAGAGAGCCTTGGATTTTTTACTTTTTTGTCAACTTTTGTGTCCTCTACTGAAAAGCACTGTCATTCTAGTGTACGTATTTGAAAGTGGAACATTTTGCACTTAGTTTTTTTTTTTTTCTTTTATGTGTTTTGTTCTGCAAGGGGAAAAAAAGTGAAAGTGGCAAAATGAAGAGGACAAAAAACTCAAGGATGGCACCGAGAAATGTAGGACCAAAAAGAAAAAGACAGGTCTGACATGCAGAGGCTGCCAAATGTTTCATGAATACCTGAAATGTTTTCTACTGAAGCTTTTTCACAAGTCTTGGCAGCTGTCATGTCTTGACAAGTGGTCATCTACCAAACACATGCAAACACACATTCAGTTATGTCCATGTTGACAGTTCTGGCCAAAGACATGTTTTAAGTTCATTTTAATGCATCAGTAACATTTCAGTCACAATTGTAGGGGCAGCAGTCACGCTTTGAAAGTGAAAAACTACATTATATGAGTTAAATTGGTTTTTTAAAGCTATTTTAAGAGCTGGATTGGTCACAATCAAGGGCTCACAGCAGGTAAAATATTACAGAGACAGAATAATAATTGCAAATTTCTTCTTATAAGAGATGATATAACCCATCTATAAATTACATTAATTACAGTCCACCTTCCAAGATATAAGTAAAGATGTTAGACATACCAAATACATAAAGAAGAAATAGCATGTGCTGCCTGCAATCAGTAAATATCAGGCCATTAGTCACAATATTTAGACTACAAGCAATATTGCAGTTTTACAGAGATGTAGCTGTGTTCTTACCACGGACATTATGTTCTGTGTATTTGCAGGTTTTTGGCGGATGATCACTCTTCTGGCACAACACCTTCCTGTCATGGTGGCAGCACAGTGAGGAGGAGGATGAAAGGAAGAGAGATGAAGGTGAGATGGGAGGGAGTGTTTAACATGCAGTAAGCAGAAGCTAACAATAGTGATCAGTGATGATGATGATAATGATGATGGTGATGATAATGATCAGCATGATCATGATGACAGCATTAGGCTACTCCAGAGACCAGGAACTATCAAGGTCCTTGATAAAATTAAGCAAAAAAGTGGCTCAAGGCAAACAGATCAAATGCTGTTTGCAAAGGTATGTTTTTAACATTAGAATCAAACCAGAGGGTCCTCAGTAGAGGGATTTAGTTGCTCCTGCCGGCCATGATGCACCGAGCCCCATTAAACCATTATTCTGTCCAATTTACCACAAAATAGGTGTTTTCTTTCTCTAATCATGGTTGGCTGGTTGTCCAAGGTGAAATGGTTACTATCCATTATCTATACACTGCTTAATCCACAGTGGGGTCGTGGGGGGGCTGAAGCCTGTCACAGCCGACTCAGGGTGAAGGCAGGGGACACCCTTCACACCTACAGACAATTTAGAATCACCAGTTAACCTCATCATGATTTTGGATTGACCTCAGCTGGGATAGACTCCAGCCCCCCCGCGACTCACGTGAGGATTAAGCGGTGTATAGATAATGGATGGATGGATGTCTTTGGATTGTGGAAGGAAGCTGGAGAACGCTGCACAGGGAGAACATACAAACTCCACGCAGACAGATCCTAGGCATCCTAATCGGGAAACGAACTGGTGATCTTCTAGCTGCGGGGTGACGGTGCTAACCACCGAACCACCTGTTACATGTTATTTTTTTTTAAATATAATGGCAATACCATATTCTTTACCTTGAGTTTGACCTTGAAATATCACCTGAGATCAAATGTAACATCACCAACAGAAAGCCCCAACATGGTTGCTTATCTCCATCAAACACCATACATCTACCTTCCACCTGTTTGAAGATATGCAGCATTTTTGAAAAAAGTGACCTTTGACCTCTAGTGGAGCTGTTTTGTCACTGATTGACCCCAAAATCTAATCACTCCGAGGAGAGGCCATTCCTAGCTCACCTGTAAAATATTAACTTGCTAGACCTCAGCACTCGAGCTACACACTGTTCACAGACACAAAGATGTTTGTTATAGTTGCCCCTCGTTGGGGGCAACTATAACAAATTCTCCTTGTTTTATCCTGCTTTGATCTGTCTAGTTTGCTACTTTTATGAACTTAGTTGTTATCCATCCATCCATTATCTATACGCCGCTTAATCCTCATTAGGGTCGCGGGGGGGCTGGAGTCTATCCCAGCTGATTTAGGGTGAAGGCAGGGGACACCCTGGACAGGTTGCCAGTCCATCGCAGGGCTACACTTAGAGACAGACAACCAAGCACACTTATATTCACACCTACGGACAATTTAGAATCACCAATTAACCTCAACATGTTTTTGGACCTTGTGGGAGGAAGCCGGAGAACCCGGAGAGAACCCACACTGNAAGGCAAACAGATCAAATGCTGTTTGCAAAGGTATGTTTTTAACATTAGAATCAAACCAGAGGGTCCTCAGTAGAGGGATTTAGTTGCTCCTGCCAGCCATGATGCACCGAGCCCCATTAAACCATTATTCTGTCCAATTTACTACAAAATAGGTGTTTTCTTTCTCTAATCATGGTTGGCTGGTTGTCCAAGGTGAAATGGCTACAATCCATTATCTATACACTGCTTAATCCACAGTGGGGTCGTGGGGGGGCTGAAGCCTGTCACAGCCGACTCAGGGTGAAGGCAGGGGACACCCTGGACACCTTCACACCTACAGACAATTTAGAATCACCAGTTAACCTCATCATGTCTTTGGATTGACCTCAGCTGGGATAGGCTCCAGGCCCCCCCCCGGGACCCACGTGAGGATCAAGCGGTGTATAGATAATGGATGGATGGATGGATGGATGTCTCTGGATTGTGGGAGGAAGCTGGAGAACGCTGCACAGGGAGAACATACAAACTCCACGCAGACAGATCCTAGGCATCCTAATCGGGAAGCAAACTGGTGATCTTCTAGCTGCGGGGTGACAGTGCTAACCACCGAGCCACCTGTTACATGTTATTTTTTTAAAATATAATGGCAATACCGTATTTTTTACCTTGAGTTTGACCTTGAAATATCACCTGAGGTCAAATGTAACATTGACCCCATTTTGATTGACCCCAAAATCTAATCATTCAGAGGAGAGGCCATTCCTAGCTCACCTGTAAAATATTAACTTGTCAGACCTCAGCACTCGAGCTAGACACTGTTCACAGACACAAAGATGGGATGGACTACTCTGTAGTTGCCCCTCGTTGGGAGCAACTATAACAAATTCTACTTGTTTTGTCCTGCTTTGATCTGTCTGGTTTGCTATTAGTTGGTATGTACTTCCTAATTATAACTATGTAGGGATGTCACAGCTAACACATTGTGCTCACTGGCTAAGATGATTAGCAAACACTTGCTAACAGCCAGCAAACTACACTGTAAACAAGGCAACAAGTGAGCAAATAAACGGCAGCGATGTGGCCAAACAAAACTTAGAACAAAAGAAAATATAATAATAATTGTAGAGAAACACTGTCATTCTGCAGATTTTTGCTGAATTG